CCATAGGATAGACTCCTGGGAGCTATAGCGGAACAACAACTGAATAAAAGTCAGCAATATGATCCCTTTAAAGGTGAATTCCAACTTTGGGATGTAGTCATATGACTTTTAATGAGGAGATATAATAATTTATTTCTATTCTTCATGAGAGAGATTCAGTTGAAAGTACAGGGTAATGCAATTTAAGAAAAACTTAGATTGAATAGAGTTCAGAGAAGAGCACAAAAATTATAAGTGATTGAAATAATTTTGCTTTTTGTTTCTTCTGAGTGAAAAAGGAAGTTTAGGAGGGACATGATAGTTTTCCAGTATGTAAAATGTTCTTATAAGGATGATTAAAAATTAATCAGTCATTGGTTAAATATGATTCTAATTATAAGACACATCAGGCTATATCATGTACTGTGTTGCCTTTGGCAATTCGTAAAGGGTTGGATGAGAGGAACATCGAGGGGCGGAGGGAGTGGTGCCAGGGAAGTGCTGGGGAAAGGTGCTGTAGACCACCCAGGTTGTCATGTACTGAGTTTAGTGGGTGTGAGAATTCAGAGCGTAAATCGTGATGACCTGCAGTGAAATAATTCTGTAGCTTTTAAAGGTCTCTTATAATACCTGTGTGTTTTTCAGGATTGCTTTGAAAACCTGAACAGTGTAAGTTGTGGCTGTTTGGAGACTTGTTGAGGTGTCAGTCTGATGTGAGCTCTGGTTGCACTGTTGCCTCACCCATATTTTGGGTCTCAGCTACTCTTTGACTAGAATGGGGTCCTCCTTTTCCTGTGGTACTTCCTAGTGTGCAAATGGCGCCTGTATCAGTTCAACACTTCGTTCAAGCAAGGCTTTTTAATTTTAAATTAGGACTTTATTTTTCTTTAAACCATTGTTTTTCTTCTATTTTTTCCCCCCTCTTTTTTTTCTTTTTAATTGGATTTCAGGAATTTTTTTTTCCTTTGTTTGGTTAGGAGATCTTTGTATTGTGCTTTAGCATGACTGACTTACTTAGCTGAATATAACTGGAGCAGTAGAGAAAACTATTATTTAACCTGAAAATCAGTTACTGAGTACTGCATCACTGAAAAATATGGATGGCATGTCAGACAGTCATCACCTCAGGTCAACTGAATCTTCAGAACTAAAATTATAAGGAAAAGGAGGAATATTTTTCATCCAGGAAATAGGATTTGCAAATAGTTTTCTGTAAGTATAATATTTAAGATTTATATGAAGGTAGAGCTAGAAGTCAAGCCAACTGCCCATATAGTTTTCTCCTCCCTGTTGAGTTAGTGTTATTGTATCCAGAGTATCAGTAACAAAGCTTATCTGAACTCTTAAACACTTTGGACAAAGTTGAACAGTGTCTCTTGATAGTTTATATGGTAGCTATTTTTTTTTCTTGCATGATCTTGTAAGAGCCTCTTTTCAAAGTCCTATAGTGATATCTGTGTGTGCATATCACTCATTTTGAAGCTGTGATCTTAACTGGAAAACTGAGAGGCAACAGCATGTGTCATATTCCTTAAGGAACTCTCTGTTTACATGCTACTAAACTTGAGGAGAATGTCAGGAATAACTGGAAAAATATGTGGATTTGAATTCCTGGAAGAGAAATATTAAATTTATATATATATATATATATATATATGTATGTTAGATATAAACATTGCTGCAAAATTCTTGGTACACAGAGAGTGTACTGTAAAGAAGCACTAGTAATTGTTTAATCTGAAAAAATAAGATTTTACTGTTGCAAAACCTGACACTGTTAATTATCAATACTTTGTTGGTCCTTCGGGGAAAGGAACAAGCAGTATAATTCAGGTATTCTCAAACTTCATACTGCGGACTTTAACACAGAATGTCTTATGAAATGTAATGCCTGCCATGTGTACTCACACAGATTCCCATCTGTTACAGTGATGTTATCTCAGTAACAACCATAGTAACTTTTTGTCTGGAGAAGTTAGAACTGTGTAGTTTAAAATGATTCCAAAGTAATTTAACAGCCTGAAGAGGGCACAGAAGTCATCACTGAGGACACGAGACAACGCTTCTGAACTACCAGCAGATATTCTGAAAATCACGGGAGGCTCACAGATCGTGGTTTGAAAACTTTTCCTGTAACTTAAGTATTGTGAGCCTGAGATCATGGTGCCTTGACAGCTTTGTATAGCCCCCTTGCTGGTGTAGAGATATGTATGAAAATTGCCAGTATATTTTTTTTCTTATAGACGTGACACTTGTCCAGTGTTTATCTCCACAGAAGACTGTGGTCCATTATGAAGTGCAATTCTCCCTTAAGATATTTTCCATATGTTTTCTGTAGCAATAAAATACTAAACTACTTTTTGCCCTTTAGTAACCCTTACAATAATGCTTTTAGATATTTTTTCTTATTTTAGTTTAAATATATTGGGTGTGCATAAAGTTTCTCAACAATGCTTATTAAATCTATGTAAGGAAAAGGGAAAATAAAGTTTTGTTCACAAAGCTTGCTGCAAGTACTTGCAAGGATTCTGTACACCTGAAGGTTGGTCAGTCTTATTGGTGGAACTGGTAGTCCACTGCAGTCTGTGGAAATTGTCACTGACTGAACTAGATTCAGCATTTTACCCATCTTTTTCCTAGTGTTTGTTACCTGTTTGCACTATTTTATGAGACAGTAGCATTTACAAAAGTGTCTAGAGGCAATTGGTAAGTGTGATCTCAGGAATCTAAACATTAATAAAGGTCCCTATTTCATTGAAAGTCAGTTTGCTTGGGACTTTTTTCTTAAACATACCAGGAGCTTTTAAAGCACACATAAAACACTGCATGCCATTTCACTCCTATGGATTTGTTGGCTCAGGCCCTTCAAAAGGTAATTGACATGAACTCACTTTAACTGTTGCAATGAAAACTCTAACTCATCTTTTCTAGCTTCCTTAAAGTCATACGGGTTGATCAATAAAGTACCTTGAAAGACTGATTCCCCCAGGAAGCAGGTTGTTTACTAAGAGTGAAAAAGTACTTTTTTTACTATATGAGATGATATAAAAAACCCTGAACTCTGCATTTAAATAGAAAAGATTTTTCTTACGTGTACTGGCTAAATTTGTTTATATATATATATATATATATATATATATGAAGTATGGCTATATATCACTAAAATACCACATCCATTAACATTTATTTTCTCAAGTGCTCAAAACTTATAGATGTGTATATCAGATTTGAAGGTTAATGCATGTTTGCATTTAAACAAGTACATATTTTTTTTCTCTCTTGCCTGTGGGAACCTGGGGTTCCCATATATAACTTGCCGTAGAACAACCTTTATCTGGGTACTGCTTGCATTGAAACTAAAACAGATCCATCGTCACTGTATCAGTTTTTTCACATCACTCATAGTTTTCATACTGCCTTAAAGCAAACAAACATATGGCAAAATGTGTACTTTTAATCTGCCTTTTGTAGTTCTTCCTCCTAGTAAGTCTACCGGTATGGCTCTGATTTGTTTGGTTTTCTCTGTTTTTCCTCAATTATTTTTTTGCATTTCTCTACATTATGCTTCACTGGCTTCCTTCTTCATACTGTGCCCTTTGATGTCCATGCAACTATATGCACCGTTCCTTCACTGTGATGCCTGGAGCAAGTAACACTACCGCTAGCCACTCAAGGGGCTGAATGACTCTGACAGTAAGAGGTAGCAGTAAAAGGGTAGGAAGACCCTTTTCGTGGTCAGCTGTCAATCTGGGTGGCCCAAAACTGTAACTGCAGAGAAAATCCTGTGGCAGTAGTGGGGTTCTCTCAGGCGATGAGACATTAGCAAGGTTTGGCAAAGGCATAATGGAGACTAAATCCATAAACAGGGTGATCGTTGTGTATTTCTGTATCCAGTTTGTGCAGCTCTGCACAGCTGAGCTGTTGTGCCAGTTTAAACATAACTCTTCTCTCCGTCTAATTGCAGATGATAGTTATGTAAGAATGATAATAAGAGAACAAAGAAGTTGTCGTAACTCTTGCAGGCCTCAGCACTGTCATGCACTTCTGTTGCGTTGTGTCATGCCAGGTAATAATGAGACATGATATGGTATATAATGGAACATGAAACACTCGTGCAACTTTAATGTGATTTCTGGTTCTCCATGGTTAACATTTTTTTTGCATAAATTTATTGACCATTCATGATGAACAGTTCTATCTTAATGTAAAAGCCTAGAAATAAGCAAATATTAATATATCAAACATTTTAAACTAATTATTTGTGTTCTATTTTTGAGACTATAATATGTCCCTTACCCCATAAAGCCGATTGAGTGAAAAAGAAAGGGAGTAGCAAATCATTAGGGAGAATTTTGGGAGCGCTTACATCAACAAGATTTTGTGGTTGCTCAAGCTGAAGCTTAAGAACAGCTTGGTGGAGACAGAAACATTGATTGTTTGGCGCTTTGATGTGAATTTTTAATCTTTGTAAATTCATTCCTTTATTTACTCTTTAAAGCTTATATTTTTTATTGTTGTATTAACTTTGGTAATTTATTTCTGAGGAAAAGAAAATTGAACTATAGAGAAGCTAAGTGACTTTCCCGAGGTGCTACCATGAGCCGGTAACACCTGTGTATAAATAAAATTCAAATATGCCTTGCAGTCTTGTGTCGTAACTCCTATGTACAGTTGTTTTTAAAGTGTTTTACTGTTAAAACACAGGTTACAGAGTAATAGAGTGTGGTGAGCCAGCTTGCATTGTGGCCTTTTGTTATATCATTATGCATGGTTCAGGTGAACACATTTTAAAATGGAAGTCTGAATTTTCGACATGAGAAAAGAATGAGGAAGAATGTCTGAGGTGGTCTTTAATTTTAATGAATTCAGTCAAATTTCATCACCCTGCTGGACTCAAATGTTAGTTTTCCAAGGGACTAATTTTCAGGGATTACAAAAACAATGGTAAAGCACAGGAATTAGTTTTGTTTTGTTTTGTTTTTTAATCGAAACAAAGGCACTGATAGATTATTTTTTTTCAGGACATTCCAAGATTCCAAGATTCCAGTATTATGAAGAGGAGCAAAATAAGATGGAAGTGTAATAAGACACATCTGTGTGCAGGGTTGTGAAAAGGTTTTTATTATGCTGTTTAGAAAATCTCTCCTCCTAAATTGATATTACAGCTGGCAAAAACCACAAAGGGAAGGAGTACAAAGGTTAAGAAGACGAAAGCAATAACATTTTTAAAAAAGATGAATAATTTAAAGAGGAAAATGTCATGCATAATGAATAATAAAAAAAAATCCCACTTGAGATTTGGGATTCATTCATTTGTTGTACTGTGAAATTAAGTTGTCAGCATTACAATTCCGACTTGCCTCATCTAAGTACAGTTATGATCAACACATTAGTACCTTGGTGTGCACAATCCTATTGCTGGCTCTTAGCTTTGAAATCCATTAAATTTTAATATGTCCTAATCTAAGTGGTCACAAATGATTCATAAAGTTGAGGTAAGCTTTTGGTGAAAATAATTGTCAGTTGAAAGAATTTCCCCTAATGATTGTGCTTGTTATTGGGCTGTATTTTCTATATTGAGTCATTGAGAGACCGCAAGCAGAAACAAACTAAAATCTGCACTAAGCTAATTGTTCAAAACCATGGATAAAGTGTTCTAGAGGATAAAGTGCATTGCCTCTGCCCTTCCATTTCAGAAAACTCAATAGTAGCAAGTAAGAAAGTGAAACAGAGAGAGTTCTTTTTAGAGGCTGTCACAAATGATGTAATCATAGTACCATAGGATGGTTTGGGTTGGAAAGGACCTTAAAGATCCTCTAGTTCCACCCCCCTGCCCCGGGCAGGGACACCTTCCACTAGCCCAGGTTGCCCAAAGCCCCGTCCAACCTGGCCTTGAACCCTGCCAGGGAGGGGGCAGCCACAGCTTCTCTGGGCAGCCTGTGCCAGGGCCTCACCCCCTCACAGTAAAGAATTTAGGCCTAATCTAAATCTACCCTCTTTCAGTTTTAAACTGTTACCCCTCATCCTATCCCTACTCTCCTTGACAAAGAGTCCCTCCCCGCGTTTCCTGTAGGCCCCCTTTAAGGTACTGGGAGGCCGCTGTAAGTTCTCCCCAGAGCCTTGCCTTCTCTAGGCTGAATAATCCCAGATCTCTTAGCCTGCCAATAGGAAGCTTTCTGCAACACAGAAGATGGTTTTTAGCTCATTGCCGATTTGGTGTTAGTAGAAAGGAAAACACAAATACCCAATTATGTTCTGGGAGGAAAAATAAAAATTAAGAGGACTGTAAAAGCCTCCTTGTTTTCCTGTAACTTTGGTGCAATGATGGCAGTGCTATCCTCTTGTCTTCATGACAAGTAAAGAGATAAAAGTGTAAAGAAAATATGAAAATTACATTGATTCATTTCTATTAATTCCTACTGAGCACCAAATAGGAAACACTCAGCACATAGTATTAATAGCTGTACCAAAACCTTTTGAAAGGCTGACTTTAGCAACTGCCACAAAATATAAACTTGGAGGTATTATAGTCCTTTTTTTTTTTTTTTTTTTTTTTATCTTCAAATGAGGGTAAGCTAAGGATTCTCTGGGGAAGTCAAGAAATACAAGGAATTTGACTGTACCTAGTTAATTACAATTGTAATTGTACTTTACACTTTATGCAGCTCAAATACAAAGAATCTGATGATACTTTATTGCTTACACCATAGGCTGTAAGAGAGAGCGCCTCGTGTAATCGGTGCTTCACAAACTTAGTCATTTAGCTGCTGCACAGAAAACACCACAGGTGTTAGAGAGTTCACAGGATAAAATGAACAGTCTGCTGTGAGTAGCATTTCATGTTAGAGAAAGTGCAGATACTGCTGCAAGATGTATTATATTTCCATAATCAGCGATAGATAACAAGAACTGTTTAACAATCCATATCCTTATGTGTGCACTTAAGCTATGGGCAGATCAATACAAAAGCATTAAGCCTGGTGCCAGTTGAAGATATTTATACCTGCAGGCTATTTGACTACATCACGGAAACTAAATCTGGATTTCAGTAACTATTAAGGCAAATCATTATCTAGACAATGTCTTTTCCAATTCCTCTTTCAGTTCTGGGTCATTTGGAAAGGGAAAGTTTATACTCACTCAAGGGAGTTTCTTGTTTAGAATTTCTAACAAATTATTTTTCTATATGTGAAAGAAGTATAGCTGGTGTCAACATAAATGTTGTAATACTTCATAATAATAATAATAATAATAATAATAATAATAATTTAATAACTTTCTATTTAAAGTTATTCCTGAGTCCATCTATGAAATGGTCAGTTATGTGCTGGTTTAAGCCCTGCCAGAACCAGAGACCACGTTGCCATTGCCCCTTGCCCACCCTCAGCTGGTAGGGCTGGAAGTGAGGCACAAACCCCGGATTAAAATAAGAAGAGATTTAATACAACAGTGTGATAAACAATCTGAACAACAGTAGCAATGATAACAACAATAAACAGCAATAACAGTGAACAAGACCGAAGATATACAGAGAAATACCGCAAAATGGTCAGGGAACAAACCCAACGTGTGCTCCCACCACCAAAAGCCACCAAGGAAAAAAAAGTTCCTGCCCCTGGACCTGAATTCAGCATGGCATGAATAACCCAGCTGGAGATCCCTTCCCCCTCTCTCTTTGCTGGGGAAACTTAACCCTATCCTAGCTGAACCAGGACAGCATGTGTTGAAATGATTGCTCAATTAAATTAAGCTTTCTAAAGTCTTTAAAATCCTATAATGCATTGTCATGTAGTGAGTGCCTTTCTTACGGATGAGAACGTCTTGAAGAAGATGCTGACACATGCCTGGAAATCTTCAAGGAACTTGTAGATGGTTGTCTTGGAGATGTGGATGAAGAAATGAACTAAAGGATCAGCCTTGCAGTGAACAAGCTGGACCTTGGTATTTTTATCCCCCTGGTAACATCCCTGTCACTAACTACCTGCTACGGTGATGGTAGGTCTCAGGAATTAGAAGAAGGTTTCAAGGAATTGCATACTGTTTGCCTGCATCCTCAGCAAGATCCATTTATCATGTGAAATAGGAGCAGTTGCTGTTTCTGCAACACAGAATTACGGTGTACAAAGAAACTGGGGGAAAAGCTGCAATTGTGCCATAAACTGTTGCATTAAGTGCCTGTTTAAGGTATTAAAAAGCTGAATTCTTAGGGCCTCACATATGCACTGCACTGGTCCCAGAGACTTTTTTCCTCTTAAGGCTATTGTGGCTACAACTGAAGCAATGAGAATTGTATATACACTTAAGCATACTAAACTCTTAAGCTGAGTCTGGTTCTTTGTGTTTGGAACCATTTGTTTTTAAAAAACAAGGAGGAAAGATGTAAAGTCAATGTTTTAAGTACAATTTAATTTGATAAGTTACTACAGTCTTATTTAACCTCACAAAGTTCTACTGATATTTGAAAATTTCAGATATATTCCTTCTAAAACTGCTTGATGTGTTGATTCAGTGTTCTCATTGGGTAAAGATGCTAGCTTTTATATTAAATTTGGAGGGGATGCTTTTGTTGTAATGTAAAAGGGAATGTGATGCAGGGCCATTAAATGCTTTAAAACTAAAGTAGCTGTTACTTGATGCTGGAGACTTCTGTGTGAAGGTCGACAGAAACTGGCAATCAGATTGCCTGTGAACCCACAAGATGGCTTTGGAGTCAGAATTAACTGTACTTAGCTGTTTGAGGACATAATGGTCTTCTAAATTTTTGGTAGAAATAATGGGTATTGTGTAATTATTTGTAATTTCTAAATGGATATAAATTATCTTTCAGGATGAAGAATATGGCATAGGGCCAGGCACCTACACTGATCTTGAGGGCGTTACTGATTCTCTGCAGAATGGTGTCACTGATACCAAAATGCAGGCAGAAGAAACACACAGACACGTTGAGTCTCTAGAGGACCCACAGGAAGGTGTAGGTTGGTGTGACAAACATCTGGGCAAAACTGCCACTGAACTAACTCAGACCAGAGAAAATCTGACTGAGAAAATCAATGAACTACTCGAAACTGAAGAGCAGCTGACACAGAAAACCGAAGGTGAGCTCTGTCTGTGTGTTGTGAAAGAAAAGAGAAATGGTGGCTGTAAAATAGTAGTTCAGCATTGTAAAATCCAGCTGAGCAGGATTTTGGAACCCAATCATACTTACAGAGGTGATAATCAATTGTTTTGTGTATGTTCAGGTTGAACAATTCCACAGGCCTTGATTATTTCATTTTTAAGACAAAACTTACAACTGTCAGTTGAAGACTTCTGAATTGCAGGGTAATACGTCAACATTGTTTATTCATGATTTCCTGGTTATATTGTGATCCGAGCACTTCACATTTTGCTGATGCAGTGTTTCAGCTGTTCTGTGGAACATTCATAGATAAAAGTAGCAACACCTCATGGTATGATTTCAGCAGAAGTCTCCTGACATGATTGATATCTTATACAAGTTGCAGGCCCCAATTTTGTTCAAAAACCCCTAAACTTTTGAAATGTGTCCTGCCAATAGAAGCCAACACAACAATAACTGAGTCTATTCAAAAGCTACTAAAGTACCAGAAGATCTGGAAAAATGGATTACTGAGTAAACGACATAATGGCTGCTTATTTGATGCAGGCTTCTTTTCCTGTTACAGGCTTTGAAATGCAGATGATTAAATTGGATGAGTCTCATGAGCAACTTAAAGAAGCAACTGAGGTCACTTTCTAAAAAAAAAAAAAAAAAAAAAAAAAAATGCAAAATGACTTGCTTTAATACAGAATTTCAGGAGCTTAAAATGCTGTTGTAGTACGTTTCTAGCTTTTTTATATCAAGCTTAGCTTAGCTGATCTTGCTTCTAAATGCATTGTATAGTTCAAGAATTTAACATTGACTGAACTACTTTCTTTTCTAAGAAAATGAATACGCAGAATAAAAGGATTCAAGTACTAATGGACATCGTGGAGATAAAGATGATGTTACCATGAGACTGCAAGATTTGATATCCTGTTCAGAAGAAACCATAAAAGACCTGTTTTATTTTTGCCTGAATGGAAGAGGAAGGAAAGGAGCTTTTGCTGCAGCAAAAGGTCAAATTTCATTGAAGTTAGAAATTAATGTGAGAAGGAAAGTGATTGTCTA